AAAAGCTGGAAGACACTTTGTAAACCTACCTCCTCCCTTGTCTTTAAGATACCAAAAATAATTGCAAACAACAACTTTGATATGTTCACTGTCTTGTCAGAATTTATATATAAAGCATAATAGTATGCAAAAGTATTTCTTCATTTAAACTAATTATCATTAATGTTTGAAAATGTTGCCAATCCAATTTGCAAAATAGTTTCCTGTAAACCAAGATTCAAGAAAAGTTTATTTATGAATTTTGATCCATTCAGTACTTCTATTCAACAAGTAATTATTCCTGAATAAAGAGGGGCTATTACACTGAAAGAATTGGGGACGGGCAAGGAATTACTGGAAGTCTTTAAATGTATGGCTCCCAGTATGCTTTGAGATATAATTAAAGATACTGGTTATTGCTTACAAAGCCCGTCGTGGCCCAGGACTATAATATTTGCAGGACTGCCTAACTATTTCTGCTCATTCCACATGGTCTCACGGGATGGGCATATTCTAGGCTCAATCTTGCAGCAATGTTATCTGATGGGACCTGGGAAACAAGCCTTTTCTGATGAAGTGCCTGCCCTTTCAAACAATTTCCCTCCTGAGACTTGGATAGCCCTGACCCTGTTAGCCTTCAGGAAAGCTTTACAAAATCAACTTTTCCCAGGGTATTGGCCCAGGATAATAGATGAGCCCAACATCCGAGAAACGGAATGTATGATTGGTGATCCTCATCTCTATGTGGTTGTTATGTTGGCTTTTGTGTTATAGTTTTTATATGCAATATTCTTTGGGGGGCTTTATTTTATGCATGCTGCCCAGAGTCATGATTATGTGGGTTGGGCAGCGTTATACATCTTATAAGTAAATAAGTAAATGAAAGGTCACAAAGAGTACAAGTTTTTAAATAAAAATGCATAGAAAGTCCTACTACATGTTGCTTAGATCTTTCTAAAAGTGGCTTTTCACACTTATGGTAGCCTCTACCAAATATCAAAAATGACTGATATATTTCTCCAGATATTGATGAACTACATTAACAGATCCCATTAGGACTTATCAAAGTATTTATATTTAAGGAAAAATAATGATTATAATTTTAAAAAATGTATTCCAATGGTATTTTTTGTCCCCCATTATAAGAAGTCATGGATAGTCCTTCTTTAAAAAAATATTACTTAAAGTTTAAGAAAACTGATGTAAAGCATAAGCTCATCCTTTTTTCAATGATCAGATCAAATTCTGAGTATATGCTACTTGTCAACCCTGAAGCCATTTTGGAGCATCTTCAGGGCTGCCACAACAAAGTTGGTTGGAGCTATGGGAATGGGAGAGGAGAGTAGAGATAGCAGGGGACTTGTAGCCAAAATAAAATTATTTCTTCTGGGAACCAAGGACATTCTCACCAAGTGCTGGCGAGGCATGGACTGAAACCAACGGGAGTTGGGACTGTGACCTGGTTGGACCATGTGATGGACATGTGAACATGTGGAAAGAACTTTGATTTTTAATTTGGGTGGGGAAAACTTCAAGACCTTCAGAGTTGGGTTTTCATCAGATGTGCAAATATGGCATGCCTAATAAATTTGGACTTTGAAGAACCTCTTGACCTTGGAGTTTTGATTGCATTGGGTCTGTTACTTGGGACCCTGACACTACCATTGTGTCTGTTTCGACACAGTAAACTGAATCCATCTTTTAATGTGTGAATCCCTGCTGATTGAAATGCAAGAGGGAATTATTCCATTTGCTGTGAGTGTGATTTCAGGGGAAATCAGAATTTCATTTTCTATATCTCTGGTTGCACTTCTGTGAATAAACTGGAAGCCATCATTTTGCTTTTGTTTCCTATTAGATCCTGCTGTTGACTTGCTCTACGAAATAAAATGAACAAAATGAAAACGTTCAAGCGCCGCTTTTCCCTCTCAGTTCCCAGGACAGAGACTATTGAGGAATCCCTGGCAGAATTTACAGAGCAGTTCAATCAGCTCAACAACAGAAAAAATGAAGGTAACAAGTTGAGAGGGGAGGACAACAGAATTGGAATGTAAAGTGGGTAATCTAGGGTGTCTAAAGCCATTTCAAAAACTAAACAGCTGAAGTCCTCAGATTACAGATCACCTCATGGGAGCAGGGCCTTGTTGTTAGTCATCACAATCTATGAAGTGCAAGATGTTTCAAATTCAAAACATCTTGAGCTTGAAATAGCCATTTTGACTGTTCAGAAAATGTTGTTTCAGTGTTGGAAAGAAAGCATTCTGTTCTGAGGTAATTTCAAGTTGAATGTTTTAGCCATAAGAAACAACCTTGAAGTGGTCTTAGCTCAACAACACATCTGTGTCTGACAGTTTTGTTTTGAGTTGGAACCAAGCATTTAGGCCTGTGATGGCGAACCTATGGCACACGTGCCACAGGTGGCATGCAGAGCTTCTCTGTGGGCATGTAAGCTGTTGCCCAGCTTAGCACCACCGCGCATGCATGTGCACCTCCCACCAGTGAACTGATCTTCAGTTCTCTGTCACGCATGCGGGAGACGCATATGCATGTGTGGGCGGGTTGATGGAGTGCAGGGGAGGTATGCCCCCCCCCGCAACCTATTTTTGATCCCAGGAGGCTTCAGGGAGGCCTGCTAGCCCAAAATGGGTTGCAGGGGGGGTGCACACGCATGCATGTGGGAAAGGTGGAGGAGCATATACATATGCAGGGGGAGGGGTGCACAGGGGCACACATTGCACTATGGGTGTGGGCACACGCACACCTTTCAGCACATGAGGACAATAAGGTTAGCCATCACTGATTTAGGCTGTTTCAACTGACCAATTATTTCAAATAAGACTATTTGTTCCAGTTGGGAAACACGGCACATTTCCTGTTTTGTGCACACCTCTCTATTCTGAGGTAGTGAACCAGGACACCATGGCTGATTTACTTGTTCGAAGACACATTTCTGTGGCATCTTGTGGCCCTACAAGACAGTTCACAAAATGAAATACCATATAACTAATTTAGAAAATAACAAAGTTAAAGCAGAAAGTTAAAGATCAGTTTTTAAAGAGGGGGGAATTATGGAATAACCTCTCCAAGTAGTTTCCTTTCATATGAGAAGACTCATGGATGTGCCTGGGAAGCACCTCAATGGTAAGATACAGTTCAAGGTATAGCTGAGATTCTACAATAGTTCTCTCCCATTTTGTTTATATAAATTTATTTGTATAAATTCATGAGTTATATTTGAATGTGAGAATAGAAGAAACGGATAGTTCAAAGCTATTCAGTATCTACATAATATTGTAATATTGGAAAAAGCAATCTGCAGTCAAGATCTAATATGACAAGTTTTGTGGTTTATACATAATACATCTGTTGTTGAGAGGACAATCTTGTACCTTTTTCAAGTTTTGTGTTAAATATTTATTAATTGAATATATAGGTTTGGTTATATTTAGACATTTCAGTAAACCTTTAAATTCATTCTTTCATTGAACTCTAATCTTCCCATTAAGGATTGGTTGGTTGATTATGCCCTCAATTCAATGTCAACTCTTAGTGCCCACCTACCTAGATTTTCTCCAGGAGGATTTATTCCCAACATTACTCCTTCAGATCTTCCTTGAAACTATAATTGAGGCAGTTCACATTGCTGTTCATTGTCCTTCTCTTTCTTTCCATATTTCCCAGAATGATAAACTTCTCCACAAAATTAAGCTTTCATATGATATCTCCAGAGTATGATAATTTTAGCCTGGTCATTTGTGTGTTAAGTAAGAGTGCTGTTTAATTGTTCAATAATTCATTTGTTTGCTTTCTTAGCTATGTTCTTCTGGTATCCACAGGAGAAAATTGCCTTAAATGTTACCTCTCTGTTATTCACGTTTGTGCCAGCAGCACCTATTAATAAACTAAAAAGAAGAAAATTTGTACAAATAATTACCACTAAGCTTCTATAATAATGCAATGTTACAGAGGAATTCCTTCAGACTCTATACAAAAAGTGTAAAACAAAATTGTTTCTCTGCCAGCCGGTAATTGCATGTTAAGTTGTTTATATTATATTATATTATATTATATTATATTATATTATATTATATTATATTATATTATATTATATTATATTATATT